AATATTTAATTTGTAAGTTAAATATTTAGTTTATAAACTATGACATTTATAAATGTATGAATCATATGGTGAAAAACTGACTTTGAAAAATAAATGTTTTTTTCTTATAAAAGACTAAAACAAATATTGGTGTTAATTTTTGACTGTAACTTTACAAACGTCACCACATGAAGATTTAATTATTCAATAAAGTCTTTTTCTCATTTCAAACATTTAGCTAATGTGTTGCTTTTATCCTGCTCGTGACATTTTTACACAGATTTATTTATTTTTTTTTTCTTCAAAGGTACAATTTGTGGCAGTGGGTTTCAGGATATTTTGCTAACACAGAGTTGACTGAATGATATCAGTCAGTTAAAAGGTTGACTCAGCTTCAGATCCAACAGTGTTTTAGCTGTTTTCATGTTGATGGTTTTGTTGTGGTGGTCGTCTTGTATTGGATGTTGATGGTTTTTGTTTTAATATCTTGTCAACCCAGTGATTGTTTCATTATTCAGGGGTTTGGGTCAAACAGAGGATTTTCTTCTGAAAGTCTGCAGTGTGTCAGGTCAGCTGCTCTGCAGGGAGCTGCTGCTCCGTCCTCAGAGGGTTAGCTTTAGAAGCTACTTTTAGCTGCTGTTTAGCTCCTGGTCTACTTGTTTTTAGCTGTTTATTTTCAGCTTCAGACTTCATTTCTGCAGAAAGTGACTTTTTTCCCCATTTGGAAGTCGTGTTTAAACTGTTGAGTTATTTATAAGTTCATCTGTAATCAAATGTTATTATATCAATGTTTTTTAAAGTACTGAAACAAAGATTTTCTTGTTAAATGTTCTGAAGAATAAAGTCACTAAAGTTTATTTGCGCAACTGGAGGTTTGTGCACCAATTTTTTTTAGTTTTCAACAGAAAATGTATTTTTGATAACTTTAAAATAAAATCTGGAAAAAATAAAAATTGTAACAAATGGTTGTCTTCATATTTTATTTATTTATTTTTTGTGATAATTTGCATCTTTTCGCTCTCGTCCCCAAAACCCAAGGCTGTGGAGAACCTCAGTTTAGCTTGTTTGTTGCACTAGCACCGTGCTAAAACATATAAGGCAATATAGCATTGGTGCTAATGCTAAAGCTAACAGGCTAATCTGAGGTTCTTCTTCCATGAAGCAGCTCTGTTG